AAAAGGATTGAAACATTTATCTGTTCGGATATTTGTCCCTTTCAACAATTTTGAAGATTTTGACATTTTTTTGGTAATATGTCAAAGCTTCATTTAAATGCAACTGCGAAAAGCTGTTCTGTTCATTCAAGAAATGATCTCGAACGACTAAGTGCATCAGCGACAAAGTTGCGACTTGACGCGGACGCGCTTGAACACGAGGCGCGAATCTAGGCGCGACCCACGTACATACCAAGCGCACGATGCGCGCTAAAGAATATTTAATATTTTCCAATCTACTAAAGTCTCCATTGTTTTTAAATGTGCGTTTTTTAGATTGAGATATAGTACACACAACAGTATTTTTTGAAATATTATTCATTGAGGAGGCAAAAGTGAAAAAATTGTTTAAACAATGTAAGTGCTAATAACTATTTTAATGAACAAAATAATGGTCATGCAAATATTCAATAAAAATCTACCATAACAATGTGAACAATGAAAAAAAAGACGGAATCGATTGAGTAGGTTGAACCAGAGATATTGAATGTTGTAGTTAGGAAAGTTTAGCATTTTCTCGAATTTTATTGAAATTTCTGTTTAATATAGTTAACTGAGAAAAATTTTTTCACCAAAATCCCGATATAGGTGTCGGCTAATTTGATGAGGAGATGCTATAAAAAAATTCAGAGCATTTAAAAATTCGAAAACTTTTTTTTTTACAAATCCGTACGATTTATAAAAGAATGTCTCATAAACAGCGGCTTCCTTGACAGGAATTCATTTACTGTTAAGTTTCGTTATTAGTCAGGACCAGTGTACACCAAAAAACGACAACATATTACAATTATTTAATTTTAAAATCAAGTGTTGTTTCGTAGCAATTTATAGTTAAGTATTGGTAACTGCGTTTATTTAGTGTTTTAGGTTCATTGTATTTAGAGTTAAGACCCCCTCCCTGCACCCTTCCCTCCCTGTCACCATCCCCCCCGTAGGGCACTGGCTCGAGGACCATCTTTGAGGACCAACAATAAGCACCAGCAACGAGGACACCGTCGTGGACCTGCCACGAGGACACAGCATCCCTCGATGGACCGCGAGAGCGGCTACGTTGCCGAAACAGCGGAAGGCAGGGATGGCATGGGCAGGAAAGACAGCTGATCGAGTCGCCCGTGGGATGGATGCCCAGCCACCACCATCGCCACCAATATATGCAGCCCCGGTGCAGTCCCGTCACACGGGCAGGAAAGAGAGCGGCTACGTTGCCGAAACAGCGGAAGGCAGGGATGGCATGGGCAGGAAAGACAGCTGATCGAGTCGCCCGTGGGATGGATGCCCAGCCACCACCATCGCCACCAATATATGCAGCCCCGGTGCAGTCCCGTCATACGGGCAGGAAAAAGTCCCGTGTGACAGCGGCGGAGCCTTCTCCCTCCGAGACCGCGGACGTGCCCGGGAGGATTTTGACAGGCCTGGAGGCCGCCATATTGACCGGCGCGCGCAGGCAGCACGCGTGCCGGCAAAGCTAGCGCCGTGCCGCCGACACGAGGCCCTGGAAGGCCCGGCAACACAGCTGATTTGAACCGGACCAATGCCCTGCCATGCCGGAACTGCCGACCAATGCCAAAGCACGTAGCCCTCTCAACTGAGCAGACCCACCAATCCCTGAGGCCCTGGAGGCCAACCAAGGGAAACAGCGAGGACCGGAAATCAGCAAGGAATCGTCACTTCGAGTCAGGATAGCGCGGATAGCGAATGCGATTATTAGCGTGTGCGAGTTACGAATAAGAGTGAGTGCGATTTGGAGTGCGTTTGTTAAGGATTACCAGTGTTGCGGGTTTGAGTGAGTATTGTGTGACTGGAGTCTCCTTATTTGCCACCCCGTCCCCATCCCGCTTCCATAATTTGCGTTATTAGATTTTCGTAAGTCCCCTCAGGACATAGCGAGCTGACCCACGTGGTCCGGCATTCTTCTATGATTCTTTTTGTATTTGTGTCGGGCCCTCTGCCCTTACACTCGAGGCCCGTGGTATATTGCGTGCGTTCTAGAGTAGTTTGCGCCCTTCTTGGAAAACCCCCGTGCCCTCTCCCTTCCCTGCCCATTTTTGCGTTCCCACCGAGGTAATTTATAAAGTAGCCATTTTGCGTTCGGGAACCTTCCTCCCTGAGACCCCCTCATCTCCTACCCTGCTAGTCATGCCATTTCGAGTTTGAGTAAGTATTCGAGGACCTTCTGAGGTCACTCGACGGTGCTACGCCGAACAAGTAGCTGGCGCCCATTTGTTGTTTCCTCCCTCCTGTCCCTCCTGCCCCCTTGCCAATACCTTGCTTCCCCGTTCCCTGATTCCCCTCGCCCACTAGTCCGTTTAAAGGTTTGTTACGACACCGCGTGCTCCTGCGTGAGCCCGTGTGTTATTGTTTAGTTTTGCGTGTAATCGAGCGATATAGTTTTCTAGGGTATTAAGTTCTGATTTCTGTTCGTTTCTATTTTTCTTTGTATTGGCATTTACTTTATCAATTATATTCTTTTCTATTTCACCACGTGCCCCCCCCCCCTTTCTTTTGCGTTCCCCTCACCCCGTAGTTTTGAGATAACTGTATTTGCGAGACCCTGGGCCATTTTCGTGGTCCAGTACGTCACAACGTATATACTGAGAAATTGCTTTCACCCGTCCTTACTTCAATGGACCATATATTGGAGCTAGTCGCTGGCACACCAAGTTTTTTGTAGAGAAACATGTACGTCTATTAAGCATTTACCTAGGAGATTGTAATGTACGGGAAAGGTCTTACGAAACCTGCGAACAAATCAGCTCCCTTGACCACAACCAAAAGCCTGTATTTCCTCCGATTTATCATTGACGGAGACTATGTGTGCTTGAGCCTCGAATTCAACGACTGACTCGTTCGCACGCTCTTACATTTGTCGAGCCCTCTTGCCGGGCCGTGCCTCACACATACCAGTATACCACAGGATTTTTGCTTGGCTAATTTATTGGATTTGATTTATTATTTTTGCTTGGTATTTTTTTAGCAAGGATTTATTTTTTATGAAATGGCTACACTTTTAATACTTGGCGTAACCGTTTTCTTTTGAAAAAACATTTTTGGTGTTATTTGATATATTTTTGAAAGTAAGAACATCATGAAAAAATTAAACAAACTCATTCTACATATATCTCAGTGATGATTAAAAAAGTTAATTCACAGTAAACAGTAAAAATTTTACAAAATACTTCGTCTAATATTTGAAACAGCTGACAACAACAAAATTAATCGAAATTTCTATAAATCGTTAGAAATTTTTTTTCTCGATCAAGAAGTAAGTGCTGGGGTTGAGCCCGGGTTACGAGGATTATTTGAAACTAGGGTTAAAAATAACATTTGATGAGATAGCAGCTAAAACGCTTGAGCAGCCTGGTTATAGGCGCTGGGATGATATAATCAAGAGACGTGTAAAAGAATTTTACGCAACGTTATCTCATTATGACAGCATTGTATACTATACAGATGAAGAAACAATATTCAAGCTCTTTTTCTATAATTTGCGCTGTCTCGTTCTAAACGTCCGGGTTACGAGGATTATTTGAAACTAGGGTTAAAAATAACATTTGATGAGATAGCAGCTAAAACGCTTGAGCAGCCTGGTTATAGGCGCTGGGATGATATAATCAAGAGACGTGTAAAAGAATTTTACGCAACGTTATCTCATTATGACAGCATTGTATACTATACAGATGAAGAAACAATATTCAAGCTCTTTTTCTATAATTTGCGCTGTCTCGTTCTAAACGTAATAAATACGCAACTTTAGAATTGCGAGGCCAATTACGCTGTTCAACTGTTGAATCGTCGATGAATATCCAAGCAGTGCCTTTGCCTCGCACCATCGTTGTATAACGTATATCCTTATTTTCATCGTCACCATGATGGAATATTACGCTCGTAACTTTATAATTATGATCGTTTTATTTATCATAACAATACTCTCTCGCGTACCTCCATGATTGGCTGGCGCAAGTAGGCCTATGAGGTACCCGTGAATTTCGTGTCAACCACGACAGCCAATAAGAGTGTCGAATTTTTTTGTCAAAACACAAAAGTTCTTCTGTCTTTGAAAGACAGATAGAAGACAAAAAAAGATCTATGTTTCTTCCTTCTTCGTCTTCTTTGTTTTTCATTACTTCGAAGAAAATGGCGAACGACAGCGACAACGATTTCAAAGTAAGTAATTAAAATTACATTCATTCTTCGCTTTTCGAATAAACGAAATGCGAATTAATAATAATTGAAAAGGCAGATATAAAGCAGACGTTGCGGTAAATAAAAGGAGCAGTAGCGTCTCAATCAAGTAAACGTCGTCCGACGACACAAAATTACTTGGCGTTGAGATTCTACTGCGGCTCTTAAGCATGTTTTTTCTATAACGATTAATTCATGTGTATTTTTTATATTTCAGATGGATTATTCTATGGAACTAACAGAGCGGGCGCACGATGACGTGATTGTCGTATCGGCTGCGCGGGATCATCCCTCTCCCCTGCCACGAGCCGTGGCACAGCCAGGGCCAGGGCCAGGGCCACGGCCACAGCCACAGCGAATGACAGAGTACCCTCCAGCGGACGAAGAACGTAAGTAAAAAAGCCTTATTTTCTTAATACAAGTGACTGCGACTGCTTATAGATAACGAACTGAGCACTTCGTTTAAGTTGAGACAGGTTGACCGAGTCGATTGAGCATGATCTGGGTTTTTCCAAATCGACAGAATGCCAACTAACTGCCCACACAGCACACTATATTTCGAAAACATTACAACAATATTCTAATATTTCATTGCGACAGCAATGTTGTTGATGTCTTTATGTCAAATATTGCACAATATTTCAGGGCAATATAATAAATAAAACTTTCTGATATATTGCTGAAATCTGTGACAAGAGTCCCTAACCAGACTAGGAGTATCCGAGCGAACACTAGTTCGCTGTCGCGCCGCTAGGTGGCCAAGGCAACTCGCATGAAAAAACGTAGGACCGGGTAAATAATTAATCCGTCGATTACTCGGTTTTCGTCTTCGCCGTCGATATATACTTTTGTATTTTGCATGTAAAAATTACATGTGAAATTATTGCATTTGTATAGAGTATTTAAAAATACAACCGAGGTAATATTTAAGGAGGTATAGGCAACCTGCCCAAAGAAACCCACGATACATTGCTGGCATTGGAATTTATTCTCAGTTATATTATTTCTCAGCTATCTATCTGAGTTATGTTTTATTAATATTATGCATTGATATTTCCAAAATATTGACCGGCAATATTGTATTTAAAAATACAACCGAGGTAATATTTAAGGAGGTATAGGCAACCTGCCCAAAGAAACCCACGGTACATTGCTGGCATTGGAATTTATTCTCAGTTATATTATTTCTCAGTTATCTATCTGAGTTATATTTTATTAATATTATGCATTGATATTTCCGAAATATTGACCGGCAATATTATAGCAATATTATGATTGCAACGTGCTGAGCGGACATTGCAAGGTTCCTGCTACATTCCAGAAATATTTAAACAATTTTCAATATATTTCCGGTAATATTGCATTATTTCAAGGGAAACTTTTGGCAATGTTGACAAAATATTTCTGTGCTGTGTGGGTGGGTACTGTGTTGATTTCAACAAAGTGCCCAGTTCGTTATCTATAAGCAGTTGCAAGTAGTTTTTCATTTGATGCTGCTTTTAATTTCACCCGTCACTGGATTTTAGTTGTCGATGTAAAAAAAAGCAACAATTGGATAACTAAAATCCATCAACGAGTATAATTAAAAGCTGCGTCAAATGAAAAGCCACTGGGAAAATTTTACTTCACGAGCACTACTGTGTCATCTGGGCACGATCCAGGTCATGCTCAGTCAACGCAGTGCTTGTGAAGTAAAATTTTGTAAATTACTTGTTGGGAAAACGTTTTCTTAACTTGTGTGATTGCAATAATCGCCTTCGACTCATGCTGCAACCTCACACTTGTCAGAAAATGTTTTACCACGTTATGCTAAATTATAAAAATACTATTTTGCATTTATTTTACTCATTTATTTATTTTTATTTTTCATTTTACAGGAAATTATCAACGCCGTGGAAATCGTGCCGGAAGGAGGGCACGGCAAAATTACGCATAAAATTTCCTTTGCCGCATGCTACGAAAACTAGCCAACCAAGGGCCCTATCGGGCGAGGGGTCGAGGCGGTGGCTAACAAACAATGTGCTTATAAACAATAAATAACATGTTAACAACGTTTAAAAGGTATTACATATTATTATAATATATTATTGTTCAAAAAATATTTAATAATGCGTTTTTTATTATTTCTTGCGGTCCTTCTTTCTCTCTATCTCTGTCTCTGTCTCTCTCTATTTTGAGCATTCTTTCCACGTCTCGGGATACTGACTTGCTTCCTATTTTTAAAGACCGTTTGCGTTGTCACCTGGCCATGGCCTAGGTCCTTGGCGTTTTCTTTTAATACTTGATTTCGAAATTTGAAACAGTGTTTGAGATTAGAAATTCACCGTGTTCTAAATTTAGACAGTCACCATGGCTTAAGAAGTACATAGATTTAAACACTGAAATGAGAAAAAAGTCGAATAATGATTTTGAGAAGAACTTCTTTAAACTTATGAATAACGCGGTTTTTGACAAGACAATGTAAAATGTTAGAAAACAAACAGATGTTAGACTCATTACAAAATGGGATGCAGGGTATGGAGCAAAGGCTCTCATAGCGAAACCAAATTTTCATAGCTGCACTGTCTCTGATGAAGATATGGTTATAATCGAACTAACTCGTGTTAAGATTAAATTTAATAAGCCAATATATGCAGGATTTTCCATTCTCAATCTCTTCAAAATATATATTTATGACTTCCATTAGAATTACATAAAGCATACGTTTGGTAACCAAGCTAAATTAATGTATACTGACACTGACAGTCTTCTTTATCATTTTATCGTTCCGAACATATATGATTATATCAAACGGGATCTAGATACATTCGATACTTCAGACTATCCCCCAGATAATGTTTACGACATACCACTAGCAAATAAAAAAATATTGGGTCTGATGAAGGATGAAAACAATGTGAAAATTATGACTGAATTTATAGGATTACGAGCAAAATTGTATTCTTTCAGAGTGCTAGGAGAATGCAAAGATAAAAAGCGAGCTAAGGGGGTAAAAGGATCCACACTAAAGACAATCATTTTTAACGATTATAGGCAATGTCTTTCATACCACACAAATTTAGTTAAAACTCAAAATTTAATTCAGAGTAAAAAACATAAAGTTTATACAGTAAAACAACAAAAAATAGCACTGAGCTGGAATGACGACAAAATAGTCATTCTTCCTGATACGACTGACACCCTACCGTGGGGTTTGTAACGTATATTTTTTCTTAACTTGACCCGACACCGATAACAAGACATACGGGAACGACTATCTTCGAGAACCAACCTACGTTACCTTCGGCCGTCCACCCGTCGTTCGTGCATCCGCAAGCCAGGCGGGCGCCAGTCAATTCTTTTTCCACCGGGAACTGACGAGCCGGTATAAACTGGGAGTTGGGATGGAACAGGCCCAACTCCACCAAGAACGAGAGCTCTGACGGAACCTATCAGAAGAGGCGATAGCTTAACGGATCCTGTCGATTTTTGGGGACGCGTAAAATCGAGAAACGCAACCGTAGGTGCTGATCTTTGGGGTCGCGTAAAATCAGCAAACGCAACTGGATACACGAACGGGAGCGGACGGTTACGGAAATGCACGGCCGCTCAGGCTGCTAGGTTTGAGGTAGAGAGGGTCGGAGTAAGAGTCCGGCAAATAGTGCGAGAGACAGAGAGCGACGAACCGAGAACGTATCAGAACGAATCTTAATCGTCTATCGAGATCCCTTCACCAATTAATAAATTGGGAATCCTCACCGGAGCTGGTGCAGCTAATCCATGGAGGCCGAGAACCGTATCCAAAGGACACTGGTGGGCACTGCACTAAGGCACAGCACTACACCACCGTAACACTCACAGGAATTCATAGAATTCCTGGATATCGCGAGAACAACGCGAGAACCGTACGAATCGAGAACTTGCTATACCGTAGCGAAACACGGCAAGAAAAACTATCAACAGATAGCACGGGAACACGAGCCAGCAGCTTCTGAGCAGGGTGGCGACCCGAAGAGAACCAGAAATCGAGAACGTTATCTATATCGGTAACCGGAGCCGCCTTGGGACCGTGATTCAAAAAATCACGTCACAGGTTATAGAATGTAACATATACATATATATAATAAGAATGTACAAATGTAAATAGTCCGTAAGAAAATATAAATAACAAGACGTAATAAATATTTTAGTTCTGATTTATTTCGAACACCTTACAAACCAGACTTATCGATCCAACTATTGTGCGAACCATTGAAACCTAACCATTTCACAAATAGCTTGTTTCCACGTTTCCTCAGTATCTTCTCCACAAGATATATGTCGCGATACTTGACGCTGGTAAGTTCATGTTCGTAGAAGCCGCTTTCGATGGGATGATCCTGATAGTCCTTGATATTGTACGTCACCGGATCGGTATTCTTCACTCGACTTGCGGTGAAAATTTCTGTTATCCAATTCGGTGTGCAGCCTTTCTCGAAAACGTGTTTAAATTTGCTGATTCGTACTCTGTCGCCGACTTTAAACTTTGATCGTTTAAGTGTGGACTTGACTTTGAATTTCTCGTACACCCATTGTAGTAATTCCTTCTCGTTACAAGCAGTCATATTCGGTTTCATACCAAGATGCGATGCTTACTGTTATTGTAAGAGGATGCCAAGTCTAATAAGCTATCCAGTCACCAATGATTGCCCTGTAGGCTAAACTGTATCCACATCTTACTTTTCAGAGTACGATTAAAGCGTTCGCAGATCGATGCCTTCAAGTTACTGAATGTCGAATACAGGGTAATACCGTGTTTTTGCATAAGATCCTTGAATTCAGAATTGTAAAACTCTCGATCTTGGTCAACATGCAATTTCTTCGGGATTCGACTCTTCGCCAGTACAGATCTCATAGCTGCTGTCAGGTCTTTAGCGTTCTTGCTCTTCGTAGGCACGGCCCAAGCAAACTTTGAAAATATGTCGATGACGGAGAACAGATACTTGTATCCGTGGTTCTCTCTGGCGTACGCTGACATGTCAACGAGATTCACTTGCCAAGTCTCGTCCAGCCCGCGGACGTCAACGTGTCGGCGCTGGTAATTTCTCCTCGCAGGTCTACGCAGCTCCTCCACCACCGCTAACTTTTTTCCATCCATTTTCCGGCGCACTCAGTCTGACATCCAGCTGAGAAATGATCAGAGAGTTGCGAATAGCCAATTCCTGTCCTGGCTCGATATCAGCTTGCAGACGTTTCAACGCATCCTTCGTGGTAGAATCGAGAAATTCAATCATCAAGTTGTTGTTATCGATATCATTGCGCATTCCCAAAACCACGATACATGATACTGGGTTTTCAGACGAGCAGAAAGAACAAGAAAAATAAGAACGCTAGTCACTTTGACCACTGCAACGTCAGAGACGTTGCAGAATGAGCTTTAGCTCTGCACCCTTACCCGAACGTCATCACGCACGCAAACACGTACATCGAAACGGGGGACTATCGCTATAGATGTCGAATTACTCATGAGCTGTAACATGTGAACAGTGTTAGAAGAAGAATAAAAGAATTGATCTGTAGACCGTGTTTGTTCTACAGCATCAGTTTGTAAAATGAAGGTGCCGAGTAATGAACATGTTAACGAGGTTGTGCTGGAGGGTTTCGAGGAAACGGAGGATCAGGAAATTAGGATTTACGATAGATTAATAACAGTTATATTACGGGAAACTTACAAAAATATAGATAACGACGGGAGTCGTAGGGAGTATGACGTAGGGAGTGATGTACAAAGGTGGTTTTATATTGTAACGTGGCGTCCGTGGGACGGCCAGTTACATAAAAGCGTAGGCGCACGGAGAGCCGTGCCGCCGACGAAAGCCGCCGAGAGAATGCCAACGACGCTGAAGGTTCGCGGCGAGAGGGAGCCGGAGAGGAAAACCGGCAGCGCCGAGCCCGACGATAGGGCGCGCTCGGGTAAGATCGGCGCCGCCCAGAGACTGGCGGGCTGTGAGCGCCGAAAAAACGGATAGCGGACCGAGGCGAGAGATAACGCACGAGTTCGGGTGAACTCGGGATTCTTCGGGAATCCTCGGGCCGGGGGGGCCAAAAGGGGCCCACTTCGTTTTGAACCGTGAGCCGAGTGTGAGCGAGTTTTTGAAAGTAGTGTGCGATTTTGGTTTTTGGTTTTGTGTGAGATAGTGATTGGACTGATATTGTGTAAAGACGATTTGGCATTTCCCCCGGACTTCGATTTTTGGATTTTGGACGGTGGCAACGCGGCGAGAGCGAGCAGCCCGAGAGAGAGACGAAAGGACGAGGGAAACAGCTAGGGACCACCAGAGGGAAATCCGAGTGCACCGGAAGTTCTGGTAAGTCCCATCCGATTACCAATTTCAAGCGAAGCCGCGCGCCGGCCGGGGATGGAGCGCATCCGCCGGTGCAGCAAGGCACGCGGAGTGGGGGCTACGGGCCCGCCATCGACTCGCACGCGTGAATATTGCAGCCGCCCGTGAGGAAAGAAGAACCGACTGCCGCGACCGCGTCCGTTGATAGGATTGTATCGAGTCTCGTTAGTAAGACCACCCGACTGTAATCGTTTACCTAGAACGAAATAAATGTAGATTGTTGAAAGCAAATCCCACCATGTCGATTATTTCGGAAAGAAGCCGACCGATTCCTGTGTAAACTCGCCGCCCTCACGTTCCCCTCTACCAGCGCGAAGGAGGGCTAGCTGGAAGATCCGGTCGAGAAGACTCCCAGAAGTGACGCGCCGCGGATTAAAAATTAAAGGCCCGACGAGTCGGGCTGGTGCAAGGATGCACCTGGCGCCCAAGGGATCCGCGGAATGCCACGTTGGGGTCGCGGATAGGACGTAGGCCAGGAAATGCGTTACAATATAAATACTTTCGGACAAATGGTGCTACGTATACATCAGGTGCCATTTCATCTCTATCGAGAGGTAAGGGTGTCTAATTAGACACTCAGTTAAAACAAATTTCTATAAAAACATAGCTTCAATACATTTAGGGTATGATGCCTGAGGTTGAGGAGGCGGAGGAAGATGAGGCGAAGGAGGTGGCAGCTGAGGAGGATAGAGATAGGGAAGAGGACGTTTGGGATTAGACGAGGTGATTAACTTGGATACGATTTTAATACATTTACAGAGTATGATGTCTAAGCTGGAG